AGGAAACGTGAGGGTGGGCATTGCACAGGCACTTTTAGAGGGGCATATGTAATTTTATTATGGGGTCTTTGAAGGGTTAAAGTAAAGGGTACAGAAGTCTTTCTTCAATGTTTACTACAAATCATTCAATATTGGTACATAACCTTGACAATTTTAAATTCATTTCATAAAGGACTCACAAAGCCCACCCCCATCCCACCCAGTAGAAAAATGAAACGCTCACTGCTGCAAAGTTTTCAATGATTCGTGAAACTATTGCTGTTTATTGTTATTTTACAGTGTCACAGGGAAAGCCGTCTGAGACAGTCATGTGATGCACCAAATGTGCCCATGTGAATATTCATACTAAAACATCATTTTTTTGCCTTTCCTAGTAAATGATAGGATAGCAGCTATGCGGAAAGAAGCTGAGAAAATGTGTTCATTGATTAATTCTTCTTACAAAATGGAATTATTCAAACTTCCAAAAGCTATGAGAAACCTAAAGAGAACACAGTTTATAGGTGAGTACGTCAGCTGTTCTATCAACAAACTTTTCCATGTGTTTTTGTTTACCATATTTGCTCTACTAATAGCACATACACTTATGTAATAAATCTGCATAGTATTTTCCATAAGTCAAACATCAATATATTTTTTTTACTATGAAATGTAAACAGCTTTATTTCTATGTGATTGACAATTTATACTAACTCAGTTTCTGTATATTTTGTTTCCAGCAAAGGGTGGCTCAGTGAATGCTGTTGTATTGGATGAAGTCACAGAGGGCATAGACAGACTAGCCAGTACATTGGCACCCATACTCTCCTGCAGTAAATCCACTGCACGGGTTCCTTTAGGCAATGTTGGCAATACAAAGATTAATGAATGTACAAATCTGGATCCGGTGACGATAAAAGAAGAGGTGTTGTCATCTGAAGAAGTGCAGCCAACAGAAACTAAAAAAACGGTTTGTGCATATGATTGTATTAGTGTGCCCAGCTTTGCTTCTTTTGTAAAATGACATGTATAATACATTATTTATGCTCGTTATTTACAATGCTCAGGTAATTTGATTAATGTTGTTGTTGTTTTTCAATTCAGAGAGGTAAAGGAACCAGAACAACAAAAGCTAGAGCAGCACTGCGAGAACAAAATAATTGCAGTGATGCGCCATTAACTGTAAGAAGATCTACAAGGTACGTATCATACAAAATATTCACTTTTGTTTTTAAAAGTTGCCACCATTCTCACACACATGAGATTTGCTCAGTCTTCAGTTCAACAATAAGAATTCTGTACATTTAAAATTACAAAGGTGTAGTTCTGTAAAATATTTGCTATTTTGGCTGAAAGGAAAAATAAAATAACAATGAAAATATCTTTCTTCCTGTATTTTACATTCAACTCATCAAAAATCAGTGAAAAAAAATGCATACATTGCATGTATGTGTTTGAAACTCTCGCTCAAAATTTTTCAACATGTGGTTATTGAAGTTGAATATTTTTTTACACATTTACTTATGATATAACTGTTATTTTTTGCAGAAAAGGGGCGCTTAAAAATCAATTGGTTACCCCAGCTATGAATACTGGCAGGCACAATGCCTTAACAATGGGATGGGATACACCAGCAGTCACTCCAAAATTTGATCCCAGGTCAGACCAACTTATCACTGCTTTTGTCACTAATATGATGAGCCTTGTTGGTGTCCTTCCTTAACCTTTTTTCCATGAAAATTGTTGAAACTTGCCTTTCACTGTAATTATTCCCTGTCAGATGGTTTGTGTATGCTCAATGTGATTTCCTGAGCATATTGGACCAATTTTAATTATGTCTGTCCCCCAAAACATAAAAAAAAACTTTTCAAAATTTGTTTTTCTGGTATTGGCATCACCCATGGTGGGTTACTGATGCACATCTATTTGTTCTTTCGTCGGTTTCGATGAGATTTAACCAATTGACGACCATTTTGTTCTAAAAACAACAAAAAACGTGATCATGTTATTATCCATTATTATTGATAGGACTTTACAATGAATTAATTCATACATTAGGAATTCAAATACACCTGATTTGTGAATACATTTCTTAGTGTCAACTTCCATAAAGGGAACACCAAGCCTTGTTTTTATCATATACATTATATATATATAAATATATAACCAGCATCGTTTGAATTAATGAATTAGAGCTTTGCAAGTGTGTTCCTGACTGTTTTATGTTATTTTTAGGCTTCCGGTCACCCCTGCAGTCATGAGGGAACCCAAAGCTGGTGAGCGAATCATGTCAATGTGTGGCAGTCCATTAACCAATCCTTCACATGCTGGAGCTAAGGTTCCAGAAGCTTACATACCATTAAGAAATGGACAGGTATAATTGGCATGGTCATATCTTTGTTGTATCATATGTCTGTGATGTTCTTTTATCTCATCAAGTTGAATTTTTGAACTATCTTCATTATGCTCAATAGCACCTCCTCGCTCTGTATGATAATTGAATTCCTACCCTTGAACATGTCATTTCAATTCTATTTGTATCTCTATTTCTATAGGCAATCCAGCTAAAAGCAAACCAAAATATACAAGATTTAGCTCTCACAGAAGTGGATGACCACACACGGAAAAACTTGCTAGTATTACAAGAACAGATATCCAAAATTTTAAAAGTCAAACCTTTGAAGGCGACAACCCAATCATAAGGCTGATTTTTTGCGAATATTGTGTTACTATAGTGCTATGTGATAGTATATTGAAGTATTTTTACACTGCAATCTTACATGTATGTGTGTTACCAAATATTTGCACACCTTTTAACTCTTGACCAGTGGAAGAATGACTCAATCAAGAAACTTAATCTTTCTAAAAAGCAACATGTACAAAGATAAATGCATATCAAGCTAATCTTACATTTTAGTATAGTGGTAGTTTACTAAACATAATCCTAGTTCTTAATACTGTGCCAGGAGGGAGAGGGGGAATTTTTAAGAATTTAAACATATTATTGCCATTATATGGTGTACTTCATCGTGTTGTGTGTAAATAACAATCAATCCAGAGTTGTTGGCAGTGTCTCACCACTCGCCCACCATCTCATCATGTCTCATCATCTCTGTGTACAATACAGCATGCCAAGTTGTACTCTTAGTAGTATGGCATAACAATTCAGAGCAGAGTGTACCAGATCAGATAATCATTTTATTATTGTTTGTATCCTATTTAATGCGATTTAATATCAAAGTTTATTCATAAACTTGACACAGTCTCTTTTTGTGAAGAATTGATAAATCAATCTCAGACGGGGGAAGCTGCTAATAAGCATAATGTGAAGGACGATGGAATGAATTGCAGTGTGTACCTATCATTTATAAGGATGCCTGAATCATCCTTTGAATACACTTTGATGTATTTTATGCAATGTAAATTGACTGGTTAATTGTGTCTTGAGACAACTTAACCAAGCCTAGCCCCAGGATGTAATTATTTTGGTGTCAGGGAATTACCTCGTTGCTATGAACAGTGCTATGTGAGTCAAAGATGTGATTGTGCAATACCAACGCCTCACTTTAATCAATTTTTAGTTTTTGAATATCTGAAGCATCTTCATAGTGACTTGCATTATTTGTACAGATTTTGTACTGATAGTATTGTTCTATAATCTTATTAGTGTCACTACTTTTCATGATTTGTCGTAATCTCAATGTTCTTGATCTCGTTCAGGAACTAGTCTTTATTCTTGTGGAGGTCTTTCTTGAAATATATTATAAGTTGTGTGATGGATGTTGTACATGTAATAATTTTATACTTTATTATTCTTTATTATATCATTATGTACTTGTATTATAAATAGAATTTTGTTGAATCTTTGTGTTTCTGTTATATATACATATACCATTTATTATAACATGCTAATGCTTCCATGGCCCACAAATCTGCATATTCAGTACCAAAAATTGTGCAAAATTTTGAGAGTTGCAGGATTTTGATGCAAATACATAAAGCATAAAATAATATAAATTAAGTAGAGTGCTTCACATGAATGTGTTTATGATCGACTTGGTGTATCATAGTGTCTCAATGATAGGCATGTGCCTCTTTCAAGGGGTAAGCTGTTCTGCACTTGAAACCATTCCTGTTTTTACGTAAGCAAAGCCAAGTCTCATCTTTTCAGTACCGCCCTGTACTAACATCAATTGTATACCACTCCTGTTTTCAAGCAACACATTAATTTTTTTTTCCAAATTGTATGGTTATATTGTTGGACTTTCCATTATTTTCACTTGGAAGATTGTTTTGAAGATTTTTTTCACTGATATGGAAATTTAATATAAGCATACAATTTGCAAAACAAAAGCATTGCTTGAAAAGAGGAGTGGTTTACAGTTGGTGTTAGCACAGGATTTTATTGAAAAGATGAATTTCCCCCAAAATGCCATCTATAGTTCAATTTTCTATCCCACAATTCTTTGCAAAATCCAATATGGAGTTACGTAACACATTTCTTGCCTATAGGATGAGAAACAAAATTGTCAAAGTGTTGGTTGGTTTGGGAGTACTAGGTACCAATGTTACGATGTGTGAATGACTTAAAATGCAGAATTCCCTCTAGAATTGGAAAAGCCATGTGGAAAGGAAGTTTCGGGCCGACTATCAGACAAGAATTTCCATTCAAGACTACCGGTACACTCTCAGTATTTACCCCGAATCCAATGTAGCAATCAGAAACATGCTCTGGATTCAAATCCTACATTGAGTCGCCATATTTTGACTTCAGTGCAAATGTTGCCCATATCCTCTGTAAAGACTTCTATCTGATTTTGTGTACTCCCTGGGCAATATATTTGAGACCTGATGGATACATTTTGTATGAAGTGGCACTGAATGAGAAACCATATGCATCTTGTCAATTGTACAATCAGAGAATATAAATCTATTTTGATAGTTCATCCTTCTTTCTGGAATACCCCTGGATCCAAATTGTTATTGACTGTACTGTTGTACAAGAGACCGTCCAAAAACGACAGCTGTAGGTGGTCTTTAATAGGGATTTTGGATTAATTTTTGATGGATCACCAACTCGCACGTTTGAACTGTTTGTTCAGAAAATAATGAGATTGTACAGTTGCAACAAAAACTTATTTTATTTGAGTTGAGATTAAAAATTTGTTATAAACAAAATGCTAATCATTATTTTGGTCTCTGGACAAAGACAAAAAAGTAAACATGTTGCTGACAGGATGGAAATTGAATTGAATGAAATTTTAAAAAAAATAGCAAAAATTATTATAAACTTAACTGTGGATTATATTGATTTTCTCATTATGCATCTCAAAGCAGGGCTATATTATTCTAGAATACAATAATTTATTTCATATTCCTCTCCACACGAGAGTTTGTTCTAAGCTAATTTTTTGTCTATAAAATATTCTCTATCAAGATTGTTTCCAAATCTACAATGACCAACGACAAACATGCGATATAAATTATGTTTAATAGTAATAGTACTGTCATCCAAGTTTTTGTTCTGGTAATAATAAAACTGAATCTAATCATTGAAATCCTGTCATAATATTGTTGACTGAGCTCAAGGCAAACCGCCGACCACTAGATTTAGATAACGCCCTCTAACTCACAACCTGACTTTTCTAATAGGTCAAAGGTCGTCATTTTTTTTTTTTAACACCATCTTTGAAAGTTCGCATGTCTGTCTGATGTTGAATCCCATTCCCATTATTGCTATCCCATTCCATAATAGTTAGCTTTAATAATTATTATGTGGCTGTTGAAAAGTACCAAGAATGACGGTAGGTGTATTTTCACATGTTTCCATCATTACAGTGTTTTCAGAGGCATAATCAATTTCAGCGCCAAATTCGAACCGTGTTAAACATGGTCTTATAATTTGGTGAAATATGAATTTCTCATTTGAAATTCGTAGTTTGGATGATATTTAACAAATGATCAATTCCTGGGACAAGAGAACATAGATAAATCAAATCCCCCAACCATAAACAAACGCCTCATATTTTTCACACATTACAGCGAGTCTCAGAAGTATTGGCTGCCCCAATACTTCTGAGACGTGCTGTAACGGGTTAAAAATATGGTTGCCTGATCTCTCAGTTCACTACCATAACAACAAAAGTGCACAGAATTATCTTACGATTATCTTCATTTGCAGGTCGTGAATTTTATATCTTAGTTGGGAAAGAGTATGTGATTGGCAGGAAAGGTATTCATCACTTTTATTGTATCTTGCTAAAATGCCCTCAAACTAAAATTACGAATGGTATTGTTTAAATTTTACTGAATTTGTTAATAATGATTGATTAGAGTTGCCAAATAATGCATATTTGATGTTTCTGGAAACAGTTTAAAAAATACTGTGGAGGTAAGCAGGTTATTTTAGTTCATTTTGTTATTTTATAAGTTATTTCATAAGTTATCGCTAAAATATGTAGCAAAAATATAGATTTGTTGCTGGTCAGGGCGTGCAT